CATATTCCATTATTTTAGTATTATTCCATGGAGGTTGAGTACTGTTGATGAAGTCTAACCCAACAACTAACACAGAGCAACAGGATAAGTAACTTCTCAAGAAGCATAAACAAATTTGGAACAGAAACAGTCAAATAATTGGTAGTACACCACAGCATCATGCCAGACATCTGTAGTATACCTAAAATTCATGAACAAGGTTACCATCTCTCTCCAATAGGGAACTGCAGAGAATTTATCATGTCACCACTTAGTTAATATGTTATGATATATCATCATTTACTGATAAATTGTCATACCCGTGTGATAAGATCTTAGTCCAATCATGATGGTATCGCAAGATACAATGATCAACTTTTGTCCATCTTTTCTCACTAATGTACTACCCCTTGAAGTACTCAGCCAAAAGCTTGAAAATAACAGAAGTCTCAAAGAACATACCAAACTAGCATTCTCCACAATAATGAACTCAATTTTTTTTTTCATCAGCACAGTTTATTTCCAACATGAAGAAAACTACTACCAATAAGAAAAAGACCTATCCATGGCATTACCCATGTCACCAGTATTCAGTATTATATTTACATGAAATATGTGAAAGGTAATGCCCTTAAAATAACCACTCCAAGAACTAGGATTTGGCTACTATGTATTTGTAATGCAGAAATTGCTAAAGAAAATAAAAATAAAATATATCACTACAACCTCCTGATAATGAATACTTTGAACACTTAATAAACCCCAGTAATAAATAGGAAGATAAGTGTAGACAGGCAGACACCCCGCCCGCCCCGTGCTAAAGGTCTCTGAAAACATACAGAGAACAGAACAGCATTTCAGAAACCACAACACAATACAGTTACATTTAATATACATCAAACCATCTATGGAGAACAAAAACACCATTTGCAACATCTCTTGTACATGTGGAATCCAGTGTACCTGGAAAACAAAAGGATCAACAATAGTTAGAATTCTGGAGTACAATATACATAGAAGACTACAGTAATGGTTTTTTTTTGCAAAATATTTAGCCAGGGTGGTCTTATTTAATACAAATACTGTGTTTTCTCTAGTCTACTCCCTTTTTTTTATTTAACATAAACCCATTTTATACTTTTTTTTTTAAGTTTAAGTATTATTTTCTCTACACAGTTTTTGGAGTGTTTTGTGAGTATTTGTGCTATTTGCTTTTTGATAAAGTATTAGCTAACACTGCCACTTCAATGTATTTGATACCCTTTATAATCATTTGAAAATTGTTTTTAATTTCAATTTGAAATATCAGTGACAAGACATGAATTTGAGACGAGCTAATACTTTTGGTTTTGTTTTGTGAATTAGAAATTTATCTTTAATAAAACTGGAAATGTGATAGCAACTGGACTGATACATGTATATTTAAACTTGTGGCTTTACATTTTGTTGTACAGTTTGTGAAAGAAAGCAAAGTGCAAGAACTTTAAAATTCAGGGTTTTTTACTGCAGGTGTGAAGCTCACCATGGGAATATTTTGTATAGGTTTTCACTTGAGCTTTGTTCTAAACAATATTTTCAATGAGGTTAATAAATACTTTATTGAATCTTCACAGAGAATCATGACCTTGTTTGTGTTTTACATTTTATAGTATTGTTGAGGTATGTTTTTACTAGACTTCTGTATTGTATGTGCCTTAAATAAAAGAAAATTCAGAAATGACTCGTGGCCTGTGCATGTTTTTATACGTTTATAGTTACATCAAATGTGTAGTTATCGTTTGATATGATCTAATAGCAGGTATTATTATATCTAATATAGGGAAATGCATACCAAATTACAAACAAACAAACAATTTGATGAGTTATTTTATTCACTTTTGCTTCGAATGTAATTTTTAGATTACAACATGAAATTACAGTGTTCTAGGGATTTGCACAGTTAACTTTTACTTACTTTATTTACCATCAAGAAACTATGAATAGTATGAAACATAATAAATTTATTACATTGTTGAAAGGAAATAAAACCTATTATTTGTATATATGACAACAGAGCAGAGAAAACAATTATGACCAGAAATATTCTAGAATGACGTATTAGTTTTGAGGCACGATCTGTTATTAATTATAGTGAGAAGCTGTAAACAATAGTTTCTTTAACTGAAATTATTGTTTATTATAAAAATAGAAGTTTAATACTAACGTAATGTTTTCTTTTTACAGCATTTTGTTGAACTTTTTTTTCCCCTTCTTCTTCTTTCTTTTTTTTTTTTTGTTATTGGTGATTTAAATTTATAAGATTTAATAAACGCTGTGATTGTCTTTCACCTGATGCGTGACAGGTATGGAAGGGTAAAGCAAGTTCCAGTTTATTTTTCTCTTTCTTTTTCCTGGTTACTCCTGATATGTATGTGAATTATTATTGTCTAAGAATAAAGGTATGATACATTTACAAAAAGTACATTTATTATTTTAAGCATAAAACAAACATTATATGTAGTGTAGCCTTCAAAACAATGCCACATACGTAACGTTTCCGAACCCCCTTATAAAACATCGTAACATTCTAAAACTTCGAATCGCAATCTGTGGGTCGCGAGTTCGAATCCCGTCACCGAACATGCTCGATCTTTCAGCCAAGAGAGTTTGTGAAAATAAACACACACCAATATTGACTGACTAAGCATTCACATGATGTATGACAAGATCAGCAGTTTGAAATATTTTCATATATGGATAAATGGGCTGCGTGCAATCTAACAGTTAACGTGCCTGGTCTGTGAATCCTGTCACTGGAAAAACCCCTCTGGAGCTGTGAGTACACTAATAGAGTAAGGGAGAAATCTCACTATTTGGTCGTATAATAGTATAGCTTAATAATTGGCGGTAGGTGTTGTTGACTAACTGCTTTCCCTCTAATCCATCAGCTCAAAATTGGAACGTCTGTGTGCAGATAGTCCTTGTACAGCTTTGCTTACTGGAACACCAAGAACAACAGTTACTACTTCTAGTTTGAGATACAAAAATCGTGTCAATAAAATATGAATTCATTTTCAGGACTACGCATTTACAATCGGATTCGTAACGTGTGAATAACGGATTAAAACAACTTGAATATATATAACATCATATACCGATAAGTGTATGAATTCATTTTCTAAAAGTAACTAACACCTTGAAGGCGTTTAAAGTTTAACAAACAAATTTGGCGAAAATAAATCGCCGTTTTCAACAAATATTCCGAAGAATGATAATCTAGCTTTTAGTGGGACAAAAAAAAACTTGATAATGAAAATATCCGAATACAGAATATCAAAATCGACGGTTTCGAAGATAGGAACTTCAAGTTACAGTTTTTAATGATCAAGGCATTTAAAAACATGAAACGTGAATTATTTTTATCACTTTAATTCGTTTAATTTCTGAAAATATTTACGTACTAGTATAAAATGAGCACATGTATGGAAAAGTAACGTTTCCGTATTCATTGATTAGATTTTATGGTTACATTTTACACGTTATTAAGAAGAATGACCAGATTAGGCCTAATAGATTGAGGCTTCACGAGTCAGTGTCTCTATTTATCATTGGTTTTCACTGTGTTGTTCTTTGTTTGTTTTTAATAATATATCTATATATATAATAAGTATGAACAAAATATTTAGTTAGTCAGAAAATCCAAATTAGATAAAAGTAATTAACTGTTTACAAATGCAAGTTTTGAAAAATGGTCAAAATTTAACAAATGATAATTTAGCCATCTCGTAGGTTCCTTGTGAATCCATTTTAAAACCAACATCGGCTTGATGCTAATTATATTTCTAGCAAGGATTTGTATCAGTATTTTCAGGACATGTCCGGCTTATTTTGACAAATGTTGGGAAA